AAAAAAAAAAAAAAAAAAAAAAAAGGGTATTGAGTTAGAGAGGAGAGGGGGGGGGGGGAGGTTGGTTTTGGTGGGGGTGGTTTTGGGGGTGGGGGGTTGGAGGGGGTTGGGGGGGGGGGTGGTGTGGTAGGGGGTGGGGGGGGGGTGGGGGGGGGGGGGGCAGGGGGGGGGGGGTTGGGTGTGGGGATTGGGGGTGTGGGGGGAACGAGAAGAAATAGGAGAAGTACGACGAATATAAAAAGAAATAGTGGAAGATGAATAAAAGAAAGAGATAAAGAAAGGCGTGAGAGTGAGTCTAAACTGGGCGATGAACGCCCAAGGCAACGAATCCTTCATCAACCGCGGGAATTTCGGACACAGGATCTACCCCGCGGGGCCGTACTACGACGAGGTGTGGGATTATAACTCCCAGGTGAGCAGTCACTGGGATAGTTTAAGGCATTTTCCTTATATACAAGAGAGGAAGTTTTACAACGGGGTTGAGGATGGGGATATTTTGGGGGAGGGGAACGGGACTAGGAATAGCATACATGTCTGGTCGGAAAGGGGGATCGTCGGACGGGGGGTGTTGGTTGATTTTCACAGTTGGAGGCTGAAGCAGTTGGAAGGGAGAAATCCGGAGGAGAGGTTCAAGAGGTTTGATCCGTTTGTGGGGGAGACGAGTGGGATTTTGCTGGAGGATGTGAGGGCTGTGTTGAAGTGGCAGGGGACGAAGGTTAGGTTTGGGGATATTTTGATTGTGAGGTCTGGTATGTTTCCCCCGACTGAAATTGAATATCCTACCTAGGTCATGTATCAGTTGCTTACATGAGAAAAGGGTGGACTGTCGGCTTCAACAACAAGACCCGCGAGGAGATCCTGGCTCTGCAGCGTGCTGGTTCGATCAGCGCTTCGGGTTTGGAACAGAGTCTTCCCATGATGAAGTTCCTCTGGGACAACTTTTCTGCTGTGGCGGGTGATATGCCGGGTGTGGAAGCTTATCCGGCGAGGGCAAACTTCACCATGCATGAGGTGTTGCTCGCTGGTTGGGGGTGTCCGATGGGCGAGTTGTTCGATCTGGAGGCGCTTGCTGCAGAGGCCAAGAGGCAGAAGCGATGGAGTTTCTTTTTGACGAGCGAGGTTATCAACCTGCCCGGCGCTTTGGCTAGGTGAGTTTATAGGTTTTGAGAACCATTGGCTGTTTGCGAGAGTCGAAACTGATGTGGGTGAGCAGTCCGATTAACGCGCTGGCTATCTTCTGAGGAGGAAAGCGGATGGCACCTAAATTGTGGGGGTATCAGAACACGTAGTTCATTGTTGATTGTGATTGATACTAATGAAATAGCAACACATCAACAACATACATAGAAATCAATGGAGTTGAATCAAACTGTCTAGTTGTTCAAGCGACAATGCCCTGATAGACCTGTAAGTGATAAGGTAAGATACCTGTAACAATGCGTAATGATACGCATTCACCCATCCAATTCCGGAAAGCGGTAAAGGCCTGCAGAAATATTTCTCGCCGATAAGCAACTTTTGGTCTGACGATTGCGCCGATAACGACCTTCAGGATCCCTGCCAGACCAACCCACCTCCGATTTGACGACGCCGACGACACTCGCTCCCCCTTACCGGTGCCCGATCTGACGACCGACGAGTCCGGAGACCGATTTCTTTCCTCTTTATCCCACCTCTCCCTCAACAGGCCACCCAGACACAACCACATCAATGAACTTCCCAGGCGGCGGTGCGGGCGGGTTCCCCGGCGCAGGTGGTATCCCCTCGGCGGGAGGATCAGGGTCGTCAGCGACACCACCAATGCCCATGCCCCAGGGTGATCCAAACGTGAAGATGGCAGGCACCTCCTCCTAACCGTACTCTTCTCCGCACACCTTGTAGCTAACCCCATCTCCCACAGCTCCAAAATCTCATGGAATCCTGCTACGCCAAAACCGTCATGTCCGGCGGCGCAGGTTTCGCTCTTGGCGGTGTATTCGGCATGTTCATGGCCTCCGTACGTTCCCCCGTCTCTCCCTCTCCCCAATTCTCTCACTAATCCACCATTCTCCCATCATAGATGGCCTACGACACCCCCTACCACTCCCCACAAACCGGCACCCCCGGCCAGCCCGCAATCCCAGGCATAAAACCCCCCGTCGACATCTCCACCCTCCCCCTCCGCAAGCAGCTCGCCCACGGCTTCAAAGACATGGGCGCCCGGTCCTGGTCCACCGCCAAAAACTTTGGCCAAGTAGGCGCCCTCTTCAGCGGCATCGAGTGCGGCATTGAAGGGTTAAGAGCAAAGAATGACTTGGCCAACGGTGTAGCGGCGGGTTGTCTGACGGGGGGGATTCTTGCCAGGAATGGGGGGCCCCAGGCGGCCGCGATTGGGTGTGCGGGTTTTGCGGCTTTCAGTGCCGCGATTGATGCTTGGATGAGGATGCCCAAGGATGAGGACTGATTGGTTCTATCTGGGTATGTAGAGGCTGCGGTGGATAATGGAAGGTGTGTGCTGGAAGAGGAATGTAAGAAAAAAGAAGAGGGAGGCTGTATTATATGGATGGGGAGGGGGGTCTGTGTTTGTAATAGTTCATGTCTCATGGCATTGGCGTTGGCGGTTTGGCTTTGTTTCTCATGGGAGGCTGTTGTCGTGGCCTCTGGTTTTTGGATCTAGAAAGGGGCAAAAAAGGGGCGCGGGAGGCTGTATAGACATGTTGGGCTGGCTGGGCTGGGGTTGGTCGAAGAAAAGCGATATACCATGTCTGTGGTCACTTCGAGCAGGAATCTAGGGAGGAGGGCGAAAACACTCCACTTGGTTTTCATTTTTGTCTGCATATATATGCAAATTATGAGGCGTGGAGAATGTCGACTACGAATTGACCGGCACTTATGACTACGCCTTTGTTACCAGCAGAAAAGGGGTCCTTATCCATGACAGTCTTCAGGGGCATTGCCCTCTATCATTCCGTCCAAAATGATCTCCCACCAAGGCACGTAAAAAATATCTAAAATATCTTAGGTAAATAAACCTAACCGAATTCCCGTCCCTGAGCGTACCAGAACCATCATGAGTATCACATTATCATTTCCTTGCTTCCATCATTACTCCTCCCTAACCTGCTCCCGCATTTCCTCCTTCAAATCGACGCCAGATTACCTAGCCTCCCACACCTGCCACGATCCAAACTCCCAGAATGCATCCGCAAAAGCCTGTGGGTTGTGGGCGATGAAATCCGTGCAGGTCATACCATCACGAGCTGTGGTTTCATCTAGTGAGCTTCATTGTCTTGGAAAAAGAGAGCTTCTTCTTGACTTACCGCAGCCGCTCCCGTTCCAGATATCCTCCGTGATGAAGTCACCGCAGATATTGATATTGACAATCAAGCTCTGGTTCCTAAAGTGCTGCTCCATGTCGCACCTCGTGTTAGGAAAGTCCGCCAAAGGCAGTCCCCAGCTGCTGGGGTCCGGCTTTGCTGTCACGCCCCGACTGCCTTGTCCAAGAGCAGCAACGTCGAGGTTGATGTCAGTGGGGATGTCGCTTCTGGGCCAGATCCAACTCCTGATCCCCTCCTGTCTCCATTCCAACGCTACCACACCTCCTCCGGCGGCATTGAACTTGGGCCCAAATGTGTTCTTGGGGCCTTTGACTGTGCAACCTTCGTTGTGGTTGGTTTCATTCCAGCAGTCCTCTGCTCCGATGGTGCCGGTCAGTTCCCTGCGGACGCGCTTCACGTTGCAGCCCTCTGTGGTGTGAAGCGCAACAAGATTGCCGTCTGTGCCCTGGTTTACCGACTCCATGATGTCAATCTCTCCGTTGGCCGGCCAGGCGCCAGGCGAAGGATCGGTGAGCCAAAGGGCAGGCCAGGTACCGCATCCCACGGGGGTGTGCTTGACGTCAAAGATGAAAAGACCAGATTCGTACTGGCGGTTGGATTCCAGACGGACGGAGTGTCTCCCAGTGGTGGCATTGTCACGAGAAGTGTCGACCCGGATGTTGATGGTGTCTTGGTTGGCGGTGGTGAGGTTGTAGAGATCGGCATCCCCAGGCGAGACGTAGTGTACGAAACCATGGGCTGGTGATGTTGTCAGTATAGAGCTCTTCAAACAAGACTCTCAGCAGCTAAAACTTACAAGGATCGTAAGTGTTGAAATAGGTGAACTTTTCAAAAAAGTTTGAGGGCAGGTCTATTACTCGGTCAGTAACCCGCCCTCAATAGGCAATCCCGAGCCCAAGCACAACTCACATGTCTCTACCAACTGGTAGTCCAACTTAGTATAATTCGGATGCGCATCAATGAAGGGAAACTCGTCGCTCCCATTGTTGTTGTTATTCCTCGTCGCATTCACTCCCACCACAGTTGCCACCACAACAATGACAATGATGATAATCACCGTCGCAAAGATCAGCCACGCCCTTCTCGTCCACGTCCTCGGGCTCCAAAAGGAGGGTTCCTTCTCGTCGTATGACATCTTCTCAAGTCTTCCTCAATATCTCCGAAGTGCATCAAACAATCGAAACCAAAAGAGACCGGCTATGACTCCCAACCACCCAAAAGTGGAGTCTTGTGTGTTGGTATTTTGTCCAAAAGACAAACACCTGTCGAAGTTTGATGCAATTCACTTCTTCGCATGATGTTGAAACTCCCCACACAGAGAAAAAAACACGAGAAAGAAGGCGTCGTCAACAGATCGACAGGGGGGAAGCAACGACACGAGTTCTTATACCATAGGTAAGGTATCTACCTCACCCACCCCCCCGTTCGCCTGTGT